TTCTAAATAAATTATATGCTAAACATTAAGAAGGCTTAATGTAATAATTATAGGTAAGACTGGTGAAAAAGATTAGATTTCTTTTTATATCAAGCTTTTCATCAACTATGTATAAGTCACATCAATAATCTAAAATTCGATTTTCAACTTTTTTGATATTACATTTATAGACATTTCAAGTATATTTGGTAGCCCTTCGTCTTATCTGAGTAACTCACTAGATTGCTTTTTTTCTTAAACAAATATTTTACCTATAGAATACCTTAGAGGTATTTGGGTGTCTATCTAACCATTTTTCTATATTTTAGTAGCAATTGTATTGTTTACATTAAGTAGTACTACAAAATTGAATTAGTAAAAGAGGAGAAGATTCTTTTATGCAGCTTACATATTTGGATTTATAGCTTTTTAATGTAATACTGCTACTCAGCTTGTTTTAATTATGTCATGCTCTTAAATTGGTGATGTATATTATATTAAATCTTAGTTGAACAAAGAATGCTATACCTAGGAGCACTTAAAATACACTCTTTATTTCATATTACCTTTATTTTTGTTTTGGGTAATTATAATCACGTTATTCATTTTATGGAGAATAAGAATCAAAAGAAATAAATTAACAGAACCAATATAGCTTTATAAATATGGATTCATTTGTGGAGATTACAAAACAAAATACTTCTATTGGGAATTTTTGAGGATTCTTTTAAGGCTTAGCATAGTGCTAGTGGGAAATATCTTTGCTGAGAACCTTTTAATATTGAAATCGAATTTTGCTGTTTTAGTGATTCAAATTTATAATTACTGCTTGATAAAACTGAGTCCATACATAAATAAAAATTCTCTTAAAATAGACTATTACTTTAACTAATGCATTTGCTTGCTCTTCCTTCTAAATCCAATAACATATTATACTTAAAATGTTGCTATATACTAAACAGCTTATATTGCTTAATTTGTCATAAATTTAATTTGTTATGCCATGTTTTTGTTAATGGTAATAGGATTTGTTGTTAACAAAAATGAGAAACTAAATAAATATTTGACTTAAAAAATTCCTTTCTTGAACCGTTTTTTATAAAAGCCTTTAGTAAGCTTTAAAAG